AATGTCCCAGACACCTGAATACTCTTTACTGAGCCAGGTCCATAGATCAAGAGCTAAAACCAACTTGTTAATCATAATGTGTTTTTTATCTACCAGATGCTGCAGAAGAAATGAACTACAGTCAGATGCATCATGATAATGTCCTGTTATTCTCATACACTAACGGACTAGGCATGCACAATCTCTCAAGGTAGTACACAGGATGCTACCTTGAGCAGGTTCGAATGTAGGGCTAAGAAGCCTTTCCTAGTGGAGGGAAATATGAAGTGAGACTTTCCTCACAAAGAGGGCCTGACTCGGGTTCAGGTTCTACTTGTAGCTTTCTCTACTGTCAGGAGTCTCTATGATTTCCATAGGGAATGATGTTATTATCATCCACATTATACTTTCTACATTAGGTCCATGAAGATGCTATTCTAGCATGGCCACTTAAGAACTGCCAAATAAAGTTTCCATTCCAAGAATGGCTCCTGAGCTGCAAATGCAATCTGCTTCCATCCACTTCAACAGGATGGTATGTTAATAGGACACTGTGATGCTCAGGGATTCAAAAGTTGCCAGGACTTTTAGCCAAACCCGCAGGGTTAGAAGAAATTCATACATGCTTCCCTGCGTTCTCTGATGTGTTTGAGTCAATGTTTGTGGTCTTAATGGCAAATTTTGAAATGATCTTATTATATAATTTGAGATAAAGCATGAAAATGCTTAAAGGAAGTACTAATTTCAGCATTACTTATACACAGACAATGCTACAGCTAGAATTTGGGTTTCTAAAACCATGAGCTAAATAGACTCTCTCTACTCTTTAAGTAGCCTGTCTCAGGTACTCTGCTATAGGCAGAAAGATGACCAATAAGCATGTTTTATGTTAAGTTTTAAAGACAATTCTTGTATGATTTACAGATTTGCTAAATGGGTAGACATTCGTGGGTTCTGATAACACACAGGAACAAGTGTGCATGCACACATACTTGTACACACACACACACACACACACACACACAGAGAGAGAGAGAGAGAGAGAGAGAGAGAGAGAGAGAGAGAGAGAGAGAGAGAGAAGCCAATCCTAAACTGCAGTGAGCCAGGCATACAGAGCATAGAAGAGTTAGAAACTGACTTGGGATAAGACTGGAGAAGTTAGGTAAGTGATGGCTCTATAACTTAAATTAATCAATACAAAGGTAACATTGTTGAAAAAGTTAGGAGCAGGAATATGAGACTACAAAAATTTCTGATTGGTAATTGGCAGGCTAAAGGTAGAAACAGGCACAGGGCTAAATCAGTAACAGCGTTTCTAGGAGGAAAGATGGTCACAGCACAGGCAGCCTAGGGGAGGGTCAGCAGGACCTGATGCCTGAAGGGATATCATGGAAGATCAGTCACCTACGAGGCTTCTTCTTTAAAGGCTTCACCACTGGCAGCCATAAGGAAAGTTGCCTGTCTGGTCAGGGTTGAAATGATAAAGTAGCTTTGAATGTGTCCTTCGGAGTTAGATCCATTGTCTTAGTTTCTTTATTGCTGTTCTGATAAAGTATCCTTCCAAAGCCACTTAAGGAGAAAGGATTTATTCTGCCTATCATAGTGGGGGAGTCAAGGGGCAGGGCATGAAGAAGCATGTCACACAGGATCTGCTGTCAAGAGCAGACAGCCATGCGTGCATGCTATTGCTTAGCTCCCCTTCTCTACTTTATATCCTCTAGTATCCCCTGCCTAGAGAAGGGTTTTCTCACATCAATTATCCTCATGAAGAAACTCTCTTTCAGGCATGCCCAGATGCCTACCTGCCAGGTGATTCTAGATTCTGGCAAGCTGACAATTAATACATTACCATTTCAAGACAGTGATGCCTGGAGAGTATAAAGACCAGGCATAGAAGCAGTAGTGTCTCCTCCGCTGACAAAGAGGAAATACTTTTGGGCTTTCTGCCACATCTTCAAAAATGGATTTCTTTATTTTTAAAGCAACTACTTTATTTTTAAAGAACTGAGTTTTTAACACATTTTCACCTTATGTTATCGAAGAGAAAGACCAGAGGGGGACTGGGGAGAAATTGGCTTTTGCACTTGTGTCTCCCTGTGCATTTCAGTACATAGAGCATTCTTCTACTACATACCTAGAAATGGCACTAGACACCCAGAGGTTTGGAAAAAATAAGCTTTGCATTGTTTTGGACCACAGCAGACACTGTATCTGCCCATTTTTTCTAATGTATATATGCTTACAGGCTCATCTCCCAGTTCTTAGCTTTATAGTCTCTTTCTTTCCTTTCTTGAATATATGGAATCATGCTAATATCAAACCAGATATTCCCATTTCTCTGTAACCTTTCCATTCTATTTTCTTCATTGCACAATTCCCACAACCAACGTTTCTGTTGTATGTATCACTCCTTTACTGTAGAGAAGTCAACTAACTGGTGTGAAGGTTAGAGAGGTCTGACATTAGAGCACTGGGTTTAATCACAAGGTTGCCCTTTGGTCTGAGGTTTGATCTCTTTGATCCCTGCTACAGTGTGAATTGGATGGTTGATGTTCTCCATAGGCCTGTGTGTCAAAGGCCTGATTCCCAGGGGATGATACTGCACAGTGACATGCCGGGTAGCAGGAAGTCAAGTCATTAGAGGAGTATACTTTAGGAGATGGTAGTAAGTCACCCTCTTCTTCCTCTTTTGCTTCTGAGTCATAAAGGGGCCATATTGCTTTGTCACATTACTACCAAATGACACTCTCACTTAAAAATAATGGATCTGCCAATCAGAGTCTGGAACCTCCAAGTTGTGAGCCAAAGTAAACCTTGTCTCTCTATATTATACTCCAGGCATCTTTTATATTGTTAAAAGGCTGGTGAACATAGCCCCTCCTCCCTCAACCTCACATGAAGATTCTAAGGCTTGCTTTTGGGGGCATGTATGAAGGACAGCTGCATATGAGTCACCTCCAGCACAGTGCTCATTTCCACACTGTGGGCTCAAATGCAGCCTGACCATCCTTTCTGTAGATTCCTGCAAAGGATCTAGTGACTACAATGACCATGATACTAATCACAATCTGTCTCTATGGAGATAACCCTGAATGACTGACATCGGTGTACACAAGGCAATAGAATTAGTGTTTTACTAGATTAACAAAAAAAAAAAGAGACTTGATTGGTCTTTTACTTGATTTTAAATGTATCAAATATCTTAATTGGTAACTTAGTAATTATAATCGATAGTTCTTGAACCTCACAAGAAATATATGCCAAGTCTTCAAAATGAGAGTTACATTTTCTATTTGGCAGGTCAATTTTCTTTTAAAGCACAGGCTATCTGTCATCTTGCTATCTCTTACAGAAGCCTCTCTAGAATAAACACCGAAAACCTAGCTGCTTTTCTAAGAGAATGCCCTATCTGTTCCCTCCTCTTAAAAGCTCTGGCTGGCCCGAAGGCACATGAGTCTCATTAGAGAAGCTGACTTGCCCTGGTTCCTGAGGAGATCTTGCTCAAGGTCAGCTGAGAGGGCCTCAGAGCTGCCCCACCTGACTGTGCTGGGGAACCTGAGCTCTGAGTCATGCTCTTGGAGAAGAGCTGCTCTGGGAAGAGAAAAGCCAGCGGTGCTGGTGTGAAAGGAAGCTGAGTCACCACTGGGAACACAGGGCTCTTTATGGAGGAAACTTTGAATCCAGAGAAAAAAGGGGGGTTGAGGAAAATGCACATGACTTTTGAGTGTGTACAAGTTCACGCCCAGTGACTTCTCAAGCATCTAGTAGGCATGATATGAAAGAATACCACCTACCACACACAAGGTTTTAAAAAGTTAACTTTTCAAGGAGAAACTGACTTTATCAGTTACTGAAATTTGATTAAGATAGCAAGAAATGAAAAACAAAGGGACCTTTAAGCATGCTTCCTGAAACTGCAACCTCATGAGGGCCTCTCGGTAACTGATGCCCTCAACTCTTTTAAAATGACTTAGGTCACATGCTCAGGGGTTCTCATGTTCTAGAAAAATTAAACTTAAAAAAAATGACAAAGAAAAGCCTATAAGATCATTTTATATCCTATTACTTTATGACTTCACCTCTCTAGTTTCTATGAACAGGGAATCATCTCAAACACCCAGTGTGTACTCTAAAACAATGTCATCCTAAATGCACTGTTGAAAACTGCTAGTGATGTGACTACATATGTACCCGTCACGCTGCCAACCCATACATAATGCAGGCACTTAGGTAAGAAAAAAGGTCAGTGAGGCTGAGATAAACAAGAAATCAGTAGCTTTGCATGCCATTTATGAGAACGCTGCAAAAGGTTATAAAGACAATTCTAAGTGATTTTTACACACTGACCTGACCCTATCGGAATTAACCAGAGGCAGGCTAAGTTCTGGTGCCTATAACACAGCTGATATGTGGAATCTTTCTAACCTTACACATACAGAATCTGTCTCAGTGGCTCCGATAAAATACCACACATTTATTTGGCCCGGGAAGGGAACTGACTGCTATCTTAGACAGCAAGAAGGGGCCAGGTCTGTGGTTTGGTTGGGCTGTGGTGTGTATCTGGTGCTCACTGTCCTGGTCCCTGGGCTTGAATTCTGGCTCTATCCTCACCACTCTGATTCTCACGATGATCATCAGCAAAGCTGTCCACATCAGCTCTCGGGATCCACCTCATCATCTCATGCCTGATCTCAGACAGTCTACTCATTCAGGAGCAGAGATGTTCACTTTATATGCTGTCTCCAAATCTAGGCACATAAACGGAGTCTTTTAAATACCTGGGAGGTGAGTGGAAAGTACCATTGTACATATCAACTGTAATTATTAGCACATATGCGGCAAAGATATGAAAAACCTTGGTGGTGGTACCTTGGTCCTGGTGGGGCTTATCTGTTTATTTAGAAGCTGAGAGCAAAATACTTGAAACCTCAGGCTCTTTGTCTTAATAGAATAATGACACAGGTCTCAGAGACAATCAATATCTGCTTCTTAGAATGGATCAAAGCAAAGCCATCACTTACCGAAAAGGCAATGAGTATTTTATGGAATGCAGGCGAAGCCAAGGAAAGCCTTCCTTGCTTAAAGTGCTCTCCGAAGCAGGAAATATCTGCAAACACAGGAAGAGAAGGCTACTGGTATTTTTATTTGGCAAAAATAGGGAGATTATTCAATGTATTTAACATCATAAAATAGTAATTCCATTAAAAATTAGTCAATATGTGTTTAAATACTAGATAGCAGACATGTAAGTAACACAAATGCATTCATTTTGTGTATTTTATTTATAGGACACCTCTACTCTTCAACTCCTGCTTTTATTTTGTTCTTAGAAGAGAGTTAACCACAATAACAATTTCAAGCCACAAGAACCATGTAAAGTGAGGTTAGAGAAATCACATGAGCATAACCTCAGGGCTGGCTGGGTCTCCCCATCCACAGAGCAGGAGACCCAGGCCCACTGCAGGGAGAGCCTGGGTAAGAACTGATCAGCAGCCTGTAGCAGAGATCCTGGTTGCCACAGTACTTCCATGCTACAAGTAATTTGTTCATTTTCTCATGCACTTACTAAATCATTCATCAGTCACTGGTTGAACATTTTCCAGGAGGCAAGTACTGTTTAAGGCTCTGGGCATTTAAGACTAAAATCTGATTTCTTGGAATTTACAACCCAGAGAGGAGTGACCAGGGAAGAAAGACAAAATAAAACAATAGATACTATCTCAGAACATCCTGCTGAGATGCATCCACTAATTAAAGCCTTATGGGAAGATGCTGGAAGACCTGGGGAAGCAAGTTCTAAGCAGAGGTAAAAGCTAAGGAAGGTCCTGAGGCCACCTAGCTGTGCAAGAAATCCAAAGGGCCAAAGGTGAGCGGATGTGAGGCAGGTGCACATGAGTGCCCAGTGTGTACGTGACACCGACAAGAAGTCGAAGAAAGGCAGAACCTTGGAGAATATTAACTTAGAAGATAGGCTGGGCAGGAGCAATCAGACACACCAGGCCTAAGATGAGAATAGCTTCCAGGGTCACCACGCCAGGGTGCTGCTGTCTGCCCAGGCCAGTGGAAACAAGGGGCAGTATTGTAGACTCAGCCTGTTGGGAAGCAGAGGCTGCTACCTCCATGGTTCCAAAAAAGCATAAAAGCTGGTTCGGGGAGGCTGGGGCAGGGGGTTGGTGCTAGAGGTTCCTTAACTGAAGGCCACAGGAAAGGTAAACAGGGTACCCATTCCATGTAGAGATTTTACACATAGTAAGATGTAGCAAAAATCCTTGGCCTTTAAAGAGATCCTCCCTTACCAATTCACCAAGACTTAAAGGATATCTAAATTTAAAGTACATGGCATTTTCAGAAATTATTTTCTACGTACGCCGGAAAAGCAGATGCCTTAGTCATGGCAAGGTGCAACGAGTGCTATAGTCCAAGGCCTGGTTTTACAAGCTTGTCATTACTAAGTATCTAGAAACTAAATTCCAAATTAAGAGTCTTTGGCACCCAAAAGCAGAAAGAGTATTTTATGGCAGTGTGAACACATCCAAAATTAATCACTGAATTATTCAGGATACAACAGTCATAAAAGTGTTTGGTGATTCTTCCTAGGTAAATTTCAAATTAGTGATACATCCTTAAAAATTTCAAGTCTACTGTGATGCAGACATATTAACAATGACGTTTTTGTTTTTTGTTTTTTGTTTTTCCAGGCAGCAATCACATATGAGTTCTGAGACAACCGAGGCAGAGAGTAACTGATAGTTTACATTTCTTATGTATCTAAAATAAGACACGATGACACGATGATACTTCAAACCACACAGAGATCTGAGGCCACACACATGCCTTACTGGCATGAGTAGCACATGTGTGGAGAACACTAGGGAACATAGGTAGGCAGCATCTCTTCTGATTGCAAGCCCTTCTTGCCTTCTTCCTAAGGACCTGGTCCCTTACACTGGTATCACCAAATGCAAAGCCCAGGTGTGCTCTCATGCTCCCACTAGTAGTTACTTAAGGCCTGTTCCTCAGAAAACACTTCTTGCAGAAAGGACTAGTATTTTCATCTTTGTCAAAAAAACAAAAAACAAAATAAAAAACAAAACAAAACAAAACAAAAAAACAGTTAACAGAGTCTACCTCATGGTAAAAACCACAGAGTAAAATAATGAAAGAGGAATAAATCTATTAAAAATTTATTTTTTCAGATCCAGGGAACTTCAAAACTGAACTGGTCATCATCTGCAAATGACATCTCTCCCCATTCTTTTGGAATCACAGGTACCCAAGGGGCCAGTCACAAGCTCCCGACAGCCCTGCCTTGGAGTCCTGTGTCCAGCAGCCTACAATTCCCTTTGCTCTATTTTTGACAATTATTTTTTCAGAACCTGTTGAGTCCTGCTGTTTTGAAGTGTATCATAGTCTATGCTTTCTACATTCAGACTGGTTCCTATGTGTGTCATTGTAAGCCTCCAGAAGAGAGACAAAGTGTCAAATACTGAAAATGCTTTATCTGTTTTTGGTTTTGAGATACTAGGAATTGGACCCAGTGTCTCCTGCATAATAGCCAAGCACTCTACCAACTAAACTATGTCCCCAACCCCCGGAAATGTTTTCTTTCTTTCTTTCTTTCTTTCTTTCTTTCTTTCTTTCTTTCTTTCTTTCTTTCTTTTTCTGAGACAGGGTTTCTCTGTGTAACAGCCTTGCTGTCCTGGAACTCTCTTTGTAGACCAGACTGGCCTCGATCTCACTGAGATCTGCCTGCCTCTGCCTCTCAAGTGCTGGGATTAAAGGTGTGCACCACCACTGCCCAGCTGCTTTAATTCTTAAAATAGTATATTTCATACTCACACTGATAAACTTATTTTTGATTTGTCAGAATTAGTACTTTTCTTTCAATGACCTAGAATGAGAAGGAGAATGAACAAAATTTTACTGTGTCCAAAAAATCCATTTTTCTTTTTCTTTTCTCAGGATAGATTCTCCATAATGTATTAAGAACAAAAAGAGTTAAGTGATAAATTTGAAGATAAAAGTGCACATTGGGTTACTTTGCAAAAACATGAAGTTCTTTTAGTTTACTATTAATGTAGCCAGAATATGTTATTTGGCATCATTGGCCATCAGCAGGCAATAGTGATGTCCCTTCAATGCACAATGAACACATCATCCTTAAGGATGTAAGAAGTTGCTTCAGACATGGTGATTCCTGAAGAGCCAGCCTCAGCCCCTGAGAACAGACACCACTTTCTAGCTTTTCCGGTAGCATACAGCACTTGGGTGCAGCTCTCAGAAGGTGCCCTGTTCAGTTTTACAGGTGGAGAGTGCTTTGGCAGTAAATAAGGAAAAGACAACAGCAATCTATTTTTAAGGCAAACTCCTTAGCAAGGTACGGAGTATTCTAGGAGACTAAGAGCTTGGAAGGAAGGAGTTAGATCACATGATCCCAACCCTGAAAATAAATAATAGTTGCACATACCCAAAGATATCTGAGAATATTACAGAACTGCATCAGCAGTGCTTCCCTCCCCAGACAAGTGGCCAAGCCTAAGTTTTAAAAGGCAGCAAGGTTCTGTGTATGTCTGCAATAGAGTAATGTCAGGCCAAGAATGATGAGACAGAAGGGATATATAGATCTCCGAAGAAAACCCAAACCCTCCCGCCTAAAGCTGCCCTCTCTGAAACAGCCGGAGTGTACCAGGGTGGGCACTGCCCACATGAGATTGATGGTGCTTACACCAGGAGTAGAATGGCTGTGCGTTTGTTTCAACACCCAGAGTTGCTCAAGGCTGAAAACATTCCCCCCACTGCCTCAAGGCACAGAGACACAGTATAGCACTCCTTAAAGGCCATCAAACTCCACACAGTATAGCACTGCTTAAAGGCCATCAAACTCCATCATTCCAGTACCATCCAACGAACTTCCACAATGCTCCTACTTTCCTCTTGGAACTGCTAACCTAAATGCTGACAATGGATAATTTATTCTCTCTCAAACAGATCTGGGAGTGATGTATAGTTAGGAACCTGAATTGTTCCGCTACCTAAGACAACAGACTGACCCGCTTGAAGCAGGACACAGAACTGGGTGAGGGCAGTTATTTGCACAGACTATGTAAATTGCAACCTAGGCTTTTGGGGAGCAGGAAACAATCCCTGACAGTTGTCAGAACCTGCCTGATTCTCTGTCGATAGCAGACGCATGGTGGCAGCTGGCCAGCCCTGTGACTGGTGACTCAGGACAAGTTTCTGTAGAGTCTGTGGTCTGTTACGAAAGGACATCAGTTTCCAAGTTTAAGGACTCCAACGGAAGCAGGAGCTCTGAACCCACCACAAAGCTGCTGGTTTTGAGGATTTTGGGAGCCTCGGGCTTGCTAACTCTTTTGTCCTTCATAGTAGGCTACCTCCATTACAGAATTTAAGATTCTTTACTGCCTTGTCTGGAAAATAAACCACACAATCCTTAGTAGAAACAAATACGTTAGGCAGCAACCAGAGCGTGAGAACCCATCTCCCTACTGTGACATTTCAGCTGCAAGAGTGGCATCTTTTAAACAAAGCCAAGAGTCAGTAGTTGCTCAGGCTTCCCTCATAAACACCTATATGTGCCTATCTCTCAGAATGGGATCTGCTAATCCACCCTGTACTAAAGAAGCTTCATTAAAACTACAAAAGGTAACACAAAGAAAGCTATCCAAAATGAAGGCTGTGCACATCTGTAAAGAAACAATAGCACATTACTTCTCCAGCTAAGAGCCAGATAACAAGTCAGGAGCCTACTACCTTCTACTAATTTAAGTATGATCAGCTATATTCTCCTTAATTTTTAATTATTCAGGAGTCATGACTCAAAGTGAAGGCAACAGTCCAGACACACACCAACAAAGACACCTGGCTGGAAGCAACATCAGCTTCCCAAACAGAAGAGAACCAATAAGATCACTCCCAAGCACAGGCACCCTTGCATTCAGGTGAAAACAATGCTGCTTCCAGCACAGAGGGGCTGGTTACCAGGCAAGCAGTCTGCAAGACTGTGTGTTAGGACAGAACACAGGGGTACACACAGAGTCAACAAAGCAAGAGCAAATGAGACAGATGACACTATGAGCACGCTTCATT